GAAAGAAGAAGATTTTTTTTCCTGGGATTAATGCACAGCTGGAGAGCTATGACATCCCAGTTAGAGAATGGAAGAATAAGTACTTAAATTTCTGGGGTTCAGATTAGAGTTAGTAATATATATTCTGTTGGGGATGATTTTCAATACAAAATATTCTTCATGCAAATCATTGCCAATTTCTATTTCTTCACCACTGGGAAGCAATCAGCTTGATTTTTCACAGCTGCTGCCTGAAAACTTCTGGATAATTTCACTTTTTTGGGCTTAAATAGTCTTATATCTGAAAGTTTTCAGACAGGCTCCTGCGTTACTGCTGCAGAGTGGGGAGTCTCTATACTGTAATATCGCCCACCTGTGGCAAGTTGACTGACATGGATGCAGAAGCTGAAAGTTGAGGCATGCAAAACGGATGTGCTGTGCCTCTGGCAACATGCTCTTGTCTGTGGTATCTCCTGTTAGGTAGAGGAAAATTCCAAATTGGTGAAAATTCCTTTGTGGCTTTGAGCCACAAGATGTGTTTTACTCCTCTTGAAATGGAGTTCGTAAGAAGTTCTGGCCAGCCTGAAATCTCACTTCATTTTCATTGTCTCAGCATAAACAGACTGTTTCCCTGCAATGTTAAAATACCTCAGCGCAGGACTTTACTTTTTTGGGGTCACTCCTGGTTCCTTTCCACTTTCCCGACTATGGAGTTCAACAAAGTTAAGAGAGCTGCATCATAGAATTCCTCAGGTTGGAAAAGACCTTAAAGATCATTGAGTCCAACCACAACTTAACCATACTACCCTAACACTAACAGTCTTCCACTAAATCATGTCCCTGAGCACCACATCCAAACAGCTTTTAAACACATCCAGGGATGGTGACTCAACCACCTCCCTGGGAAGCCTATTCCAGTGCTTAACAACCCTTTCTGTAAGAAAGTTTTTCCTGATATCCAACCTAAACTTACCCTGGCACAATTTGAGGCCATTTCCCCTTGTCTTGTCACCAGTGAGAAGAGACCAATCCCACTCTTGCTGTGAGCACCTTTCAGATACTTGGAGAAAGCAATAAGGTCTCCCCTCAGCCTCCTTTCCCCCAGACTAAACAGTCCCAGTTCCTTCAGTCTGTCCTTGTAGGGCATATTCTCCAAGTCCTTCACAAGCCTTACTGCCCTTCTTTGGACCTGCTCCAGCACCTCATTTCAGAGCAGTACTAGTGAGGACCAACTTGCCCATTTAATTAAGACTGCTCTGAAAGTAATGCCTCCAATCTTATTATGTTGGCCCATCACATCAGAGGCAGATGGTATGGCAGTAGTGGTTGAACCTTCCAGCCAATATTCCATTAAATTTTGTTGCCATGGAACAGATGGCAGCGGAGGGACACTATGACAGAGTGGTATCTGCCATGGAAGTGCATATGAAGCAAAGATGTGGAACTGAACTCCTCCATGAGGAAAAAAAATTGACAGCTATTGACATCCACTGACATTACTGAACATTTCTGGAGATAGAACAGTGGATGTGAGCACTGTGGGGGATGTGGGGCAGTGAGTGTTGTGTTTCACTAATGGTGTCAGTAAGGTGAAAGACTAGCCACGTTCCAGACAGCCATTAAGATTTTTGTAAGCATGGCATACCAGCTCTTGTACATTCCTGGTAAAAATGTTAGTGGTGGTGGTAGTGTCAAGAAACAGTGTTTTGTAGCTGAGAATTAATCAAATAGTGCAATTGTGCTCTTTGTATCTGTTGTTGTTTCCATGGAAATAAACAGGAAGAATTACTTTCACAGCAACATAAGTTTTTGTTTAACAGACTATATATATCCATCATCATAAATCTTATGAGATTAATAAAACTCAGCAAAGGGGCAGCTCATTTTTTTTTTTTTTTTTTTTTTTTTTTTTGGGAGCCTGACACACAAATCTGTTTTTACACTGATGCCCGAGCTTGAGTGCTATGTGCTTTTTGCATGAATTTTCACTTTGTGATGGAAAGCAAATATTTTGTAACAATTCAATAGTAGGTCTAGACAGGCCAGATTTTATAGGAGTCTGAATCACTTATGACTAGAAATACAAACCAGGTACAGGAATGCCTGAGCTTTCTCTTAGACTTGCTGATGGACAGGTTAGGGGTCTGTTCTGAGATGCAGAAGGAAATAAGCAACACAGAATTCTGAGCAAGTGTGTTGTGAATGTCTGAATCCAGAGAAAAAAATCCCAGTCCATGTTAAACCTCGAGTCACATTACCTTATTTCTGTTATCAAGCATTAATTTTATTTCAGGTGTTTTGTGGGACAATCTATGGGTAGCGCGTTGCTAAGTTTCCTTCCATTAAGAGGCTTGTAAAGTACTGCACTGCACAGTTCTAGGATTAAGAAGAAATATGATTTTTTTGTTGTTTTTAATCACTGATCATTCTATTGATTTTGTTAATTGATTGCTAGACATAATGCCTCTCTTCTTTCTCCATTAGCCCTTGCCCCTAAAATTCACACCACGAAACTAGTACACTCACTAATGGCTTCAAACCTGTGAAACATGGGTGTTTGTTTTCTGAATTTAGCTCAGGGGAACTCAGGGCAGCGGAGTTAAATTTGTGTCAGTCTGGCCTCAGTTTATTGGCAGATGTACTCTTTGTCAATGCAACAGTATCTTCTTTACAAAAGCAGTTTTAAGATACTGTTTTGTTATTCTTCACTTGTTACAGAAGAAGCTTTCTACCCACCAGTATAAATGAAGGTGGAGACCAAAGCTTTGTATGGCTCACACCCGGTTCCACTCTGCCTGTAGATTTCACTCACCCTTTTTTTCCAGCTGTTTCCTGAAATTCTGTTTGGCTTCACTGTCATTCCTTTAATCCACACTTTATCTGAAGAATTCAGAGTTTCCTCTCCCTCCGAAATTACCTGATTCCTTCTGGGAATGGGAGTAGTGGAAGAATAAGTAATAGGAGAGGAGTTTGAGGCTGCAAACTTGTAAAATACAGGAGCTAAGTGCACAGTACTGATCATATGCATGATCAGGGAGCCTTCTGCTAGGTTCTTCTTACACTAGTTCCTGCTTCTTTTTCTGTGCTGAGTGTCCTGTCCTCCTTACCTTCACCCACAAATGCACAGAAGATATAAGAGTACTTAACCTCTACTGTCAGTACCTGACAGAAGAAACATATTCAGAGAGGTGTTTTCTCATGGCTGCTGCTTTGTAACATTTTTAAGGTTAGCACTGTGAGTTAGACTCAAAAAATAAATGGAACACTGACTTTGTATTTGTCTGGTCAATAAATTATTTTCTGTTGGTATGCTCTTGGATATCTGATAAAGAACAGCTTACATTTGCAAATGATACGGTGTGCAGTCTTGATGGGTGAGGTCTGCAACATGACTGAGCCAGTGCTGTGCAGGAACTGGCTAATGGAACAAACAGCTGCTTCATCCCAAGTAAGAAAGCAGGAAGCTAGTTATAATTACGAGCCTCATGGCATGAGCCAACAGTTTTCAGGAAATACTACTGCAGTGTATTATGCCTTACACTTTTTTTTTTTTTTTTTTTTTTTTTTTTTTCCTATTTCCCACAGCTTGTTAAATATACAACAGTTCTCTTTTTCCTCTCTCTGCACTGTACCAGTGATGGAAGCTATATTTAGTCCTTGTCAAATTACAGCAGCCTTTTTAGAATCACAAAGTGGTGAAAAAAAGGCCAGCAACAGAGTGAAGGCAAATATTTGTAGCATGTCATAAACCTTTCTTGTAACCTAAATATTTAGAAAAGAGAGGAATGTAGGAGGATGCTGTACTTCTTAAAATATGGAAAAGATAAGGAGCAGACTCCTTTCTGAGTGCACTGGAAGCTGGAGAAGTCTTTTTGCTGCAATAGGAGGGAGCACATTTTCCTTATGTTTGCTGACTAAGGATGCTTTAGAAAAGTCAATGTTTAACTTTCAATTAAAAGAAAAAACATGCTGCCAGTTCAGCTGGCACATGGAGGGCTGCATTTAAGAAGAACTGAAACCACTGTCTCCAGTGTAATAAACATGAAAATCATCCCAGTGGCTCTTGAGGTACTCACTGGCATCCTGAGAACACCAATGACATTAAGATTTTCCTTTAGCAAATATTGGAATAGAAAAAACTTCAATGTGCTCTGAGGAAGAAGTGGTACAGCTTTTTGCTGAAAATGGCCTTCTGTCAAAAGCCTCAGTCAGTGCTTGGCACATTTTGAGCTCCTGCTTGTTCATTCTAAAGTTGTTTTATTCTGAAAAAAGGTCTTTGCTTCATTTTGTTAAATCTTATTTTATCCTGTTCTATTCTCAGCTGCTTGCTAACTTTTCCTTTTGTGTCCTGTCTGACATGGAATATGATGCTGCAGCTTCAAAACTGTCAAAGCAATTGAGCGAGGGGTAATTAAGGCTTTACTCTGAGGCACCACAAGCAAATTTTGTGCTGTGCACTGTGAAGCTTGAGATTTAGGCATTAGGTGACCCAAGGTGTCCTGTTTTAATCTGTTTCCTAGGTATCTTCTCTTGTAGCCTCTGACGTATTTCTGTGTTTCACTTCTTTGCTGTGTTTTCAATAATTATCAATACCTGACAAGAAGTTGGTGTACCAAACAGAATCTGGCATGTATATTGTTAGCTAGAAGTGTGCTTAACTGTGTGCAGCATGAAAGGGAAAGGTAAATCGGTGTAGATGCTATCAAATTAGCTTGCTATTTGAGTGTAGCACTACTGACAGTTATTCAAAGTCTGTGGTGTGTATAGAGCATTAAAGAAACACTTGAACAGTGAAAACATATGCTCATATCTGTATGAATCATAACCTGATTGTTAAAAACATTTGAGTTTGGCTGTATGTCATTCTCATCTGCATGATTACCCTTAGAACTGCCCTTGGTTTTGATTATAGTACCATTACTTTTTGACTTGGCTGAGTCTTTCTAATTGCTGAACATAATGTTTCTGTTATCTGCTGCCATATTCATATTCTCATACACAATTTATTTTTTACTTTGCAGATCATGAAAAATGTGATGATGATGAGATGGAGAGACTTTACAAGTCATTAGAACAAGCAAGTCTGTCTCCCATTGGTGATCGCCGGCTGTCAACCAAGAAGGAGCTTAGGAAGTCATTTATCAAACGCAGCAAAAACCCCTCCATTAATGAGAAACTCCACAAAATTCGAATGCTGAACAGCACACTAAAGGTGAGATTACAGATTGAGCCAAGGAAAAGCCTGAGAGAAAGAAATAGTTTGGCCGAGAAAAGAATAAAGCCAAACTCTAATTACAGACTAACTTTAAGCTCCAGAGAGTTTGTTAAGTTTCTGAAATTGTTTTCTCTTTTAGTCAGAATTGTGGTCTGTGTTTTGTTGTTAAACTTGATCTGGGAGCGGAGGCAATAGTTCAGAAGGGACCTTTTTGTATAAATTCCAGCCCATTTGGAGAATTTAATAAAGAACATCTCTCTTAGTTAGCTGGGAAACCTGCAAGCTCAGCTGAATGCCATAAACAAGGGAGCCTTAAAAAAGGAAGAGCAGAAAAAGTACCTTGATGATGGACACAAAAATGACCATGAGCCAGAAAAGATTTCTTTGTGATTACTGGGGAATGTACAGGATGTGCCAAAGCCTTTGTAAAGACCTCCTATAACAAATATATTTAATAACAAAAGCATCCTGCTTTTATGTTGCAAGCGTACTGTGGACTGAAGGGGTGGAGGGATTAGGGGAACATTCCATGAAAAGGCCAGTAAATTTGTCTGGAATATGAAGATTTATGAGACTGCTTACCCAGTATCATTTTGAATGCCATGGGAATTCAAAACCTGCTTATGAATGGTATTCAATCAAACAGAAAGCATAGCTGTAACATTTAAGTTCTAAAGAGAAAGAATAAATGCCAAATAAGGGCTTTGCTAGAAATAGGATTCGATTTTCATATTTTTGGTAAGAGTATTTGGCTTCAGACATAGCACCCCGAAGAAGTTCGCGTAAAAACTTCTCTGATCATCACAATCAGTGATTACTTTCAACAAGAGGCTTGGCTTTGGCAACCAGGCTTGTCTTAAACTTTCTGAAAACACAGTCTAAAAGTCAAATTGGAGTGCAGATGTCCTGCCTTTTTCAGGACTTCCAGGCTCCGTATGAGACCTAGTGAAGTTTCTCCTCAGGATAAACAAGTCTCTTATGACATGGTATAACCATATTATCCTTCTGCATCAGGAATGCAGTTCAGCTTATTATAAAACAGAAAGTTCAAAAAACACACCTATTTTATGACACAGGAAAACAAATATGGAAGCATGTATCTAAGTCTTTCCCTAATATGAACCTCCCTAATAAACATAAGAACCAGTTAGTACACAATGGAGTTGTATGCTGTGCAGTAATCTATTTTATTAGTTTGGATCTGAATGCAAACCTAGAAGCCTTTCTGTCAGACATGAGCAAGGAGAATAGCTTTACAACAATTTAACCCAGGAGTATCGTATAAACTGTCATTAGCAGTGCCTACAAACTTAGACTTGTCTAACATTTGTATTTAGTATGGAAAAATCATTTTTGGACTGTTCACAATGCATAAAATGTGTTGATTTCTTTTCTTTCTTCAAGTTAAGGGATTGGAGTATTGACAAGACAAATATAGTGCAGTGTCTGACAGACACAAACAGAGTTCTATGCACAGCAGTCATTGCCTGTCTGAAAAGAAAATGCTTGTAGTGGGAATGTGCTATATTCTTTGCATCAGTAGGATGATGTGCTTTTAAAGGCAATCATATTAACATAAAACGTGAGGCATGAGATAATTTGAAATGATCTACTGGAAATTTCAAGATCAGAGAAGCTTTGCATCTGATCCATATTTACAGTGCTTTAGACAGAAACCTCTTAGTTTTGAGGCAAAAGATTAATGCAACATTCAGTGTAATCTTAATTTTTGTCTTTTGACACAATTTTTTTAAATGACAGATAAATGTTTCTGCCATGATATATCATTAACAAGACATACTTTGGGTTGTTAAGAAGAGAAAGAAGCTGTGTGCAAATGCGTCACAATCTTAATGAATGTGGGAAAATAGATTTAGTGCTGCAGAAAAAATCTGCAGTATGGCTTTTTGCCATCATGTCTGTGCATTGTAAACACTCCTCCCTTCTTTTTCCTTATTTATTCTTTAGCTCTTAGGCTACCAGTGTATCTACACACTGATGCCAGAAGCTCTCATACAAGGATTGGTTTTGAAGATAGGACCAATGTAAACCAACAGTTTAATGATTTTTTCTACTTGAAAAGTTCAGAGGTGTTAAAATTGTTGATTAGAATAGCAGTGGGATATGGATGTGATGGCAGCCTATTGCTACAGTCAGAAAGTATTCTGAATATGTATGTGTTGACAAGGAGTTTTGAAGCCAATTGTAGGCATAGTTTTCTCAGGTATGATGAAACACTCAGCAATAGAGAAGAAAGAAATATGAAAAGAGGATAGAACTAGACTATTTTCAGAGGTACACAGTGAGAGGACAAGGGACAGTGGACATAAAAGGAATCACAGGAAGTTCCATGTGAATGTAAGTGTATTTTGGGTAACAGCACTGGCACAGGTTACCTGTATTATTGGTAGACTTTCCATCGCTGAAGTTATTCAAAAGCTGCCTGAACGTGGTTCTAGGCACCCTGCTCTGGGCAACCCTGCTTGAGTAGGAGTTGAACCAAATGATCTCTGCCAACCTCAACCATTCTGTGATTCTGTGACATCAAGTCTCTTAGCCTCCCTGTATCATGACATGACTACTCCTGTTTTTCAACTGAACCAGGGTATTCACATTATACAGTCTAGGCTGCTCCTGTCTGGAAGTAGAGGCCAGATTTGTTAAGATCCGGTGACTAATGTATTAGCACCCACATGTACACTAACTACTTAAAGGCTACACTGCCAGCATATGAACCAGTGTCTAATTTTCTCAACTTTTCGTTCATAAAGTTTTGCTAAGAATCCTATAAAAGCAAAGCAAAACAAAACAACTGCATAAAATCATAATCTCTCCTTCAACCAGGAGGAATTTTTGCTGTGGACTTGACTTCAATAACCTTGATTATAAAAATTAGAACAAGTTGCCAAGAGAATGGATCATTGTCCATCTCCCTGTGACATGGTTCTGTAATGTTCCAAGGGTGATTTGTTATGGATGGTGATCTTGACAGTGTTTATGAGAAATAACCTCTTGATCTCTTCCTAGTGTAAGGAACATGACTTGGCTACAATTAACCAGTTGTTAGAGGACCCAAAGTTGACGGCGATGAAATACAGAGAGTGGAGGAACACAAACATCATGCTAGTTCAAGACATCTATCAGCAGCAGGAGGTCCAGGATGTGTCTACAGAGAACAGTGAGGAGCAAGAGACAACTCCACTGCCTGTCACTGAAAGTGCTATATGAAGCCATGGATTGACAGTTGACTGCAAGATTTTTTTCCCCAAGAGTCTTCACATACAGACACTTTAAACTGCTGCATTGTGAGGTTGATTTTTTTGTCAAGTGTTCTTCATAAGTTAAACAGCCCCTCCTGCAAAACTTTATTTCCTTTTGTAAATTCCTCTAAATCAAAAAAAGGATGCTTGAATCTGGGTTAAGAAGAATGTTTTATGAAGCAGTGAACAAATATTTTTCCATACTAGGAGAAGTGGTAAATGTGCAATTCCTGGAAGTCACAGTGCTGTATAATATGGACTATATAAATGTCAGATCATTGGGGTTGTATTAATCATTGAACTTACTGATAAAAGAAGCTACAACAATGCCAACAATATGTAATCTTCTATCTACCTTTTGACCCTGTATGGTAACTCAAAATTTATATATTTTTTTCATCTCTACGTTCATTCACTTTGACTGCTCTACCAGTCTAAACCAAGAAAAAATGAGTAGAAATTATGCATAAATTTTTACTACACACCACTCTCAGACACCCAGTTTTGTAATGCCTAATGTTGTATGACACTGACATTTATTTATGGACCAGACCAAAGTACTGCCATTCTTCAAGAACAGAAGGTCTCTCTGTGTTTGGTTACATGTAAATCGCTCTTCAGTGAGGTAAATAATATCTCAACATATTTCAACTTCTCTTATGGATTTGGCAGAACTTCCTGGAAGGCTACTTGCTTCTTCCATGTTTTAAAGAAGCATGAGTAGATAGGGTACAAGTTCATTCCAAACTCTCAAATCAAGCAAGGTGATCAAGTCTCCAAGGCAGAAGCTAAAAACTTAAATTCCTGATTTAAGTGGAACTGAAAACATAAAGCATAGCTGCAAATGTTTTTGTAAATATATGTCATTTTATGGCTTGTATGAATGTGACTATGTACTGTATATATGTTTTATTTATATATTTATATATGCTGAATTTCCTAATGTTGATAGGATGACATGGACCAGACTCACTTAGATGAGAGTGTTTGCATGTTGACTTGAAATGCCTCTTTGTTCCAGTATAAATCACTGAAAGGGCTCTTGAATGGAGAGTACCTTGATACTTCTACTGTAACTGCTTATTCTGTTTTCAACCTAGCTTTGTGATTCAGATGAAGAAAATCTGTGTATTTTAAGGCAAGGGTTTGTTTTTTGCTTTTCCATATTCAGCATTAATGCAAGTAGGAGGAACTTTTCAGAGTTTTGAAAAGCAAGAATTAACCCACCATACTCCAAATGATGCCACTACAAGTAATGTGGGAATCTGCTCTTCTGTTTGCTATCTTGTAAAGATACTGTCATTAGTTTTTAATGGGGTTTATCTTTTAAAGCAAAATACAGCATATTCACCTGTTCTTATCAGAGATATATTTTATTGTATCTTGATCAAGAAAACAAATAGTAGTAACATGAAATATTTTCCGCCTACTAAGCAGTAATTCCAATTGTTAATGTTGCAATGTTAACAGTCAACAGATTTCCTTTGATATAGACATTACTGGAGAAGGATACTTGAGCAGATAGTAGCTGGTTGAATGCAGAGCTGCTCTCAGGATTGCATCATTGCCTCAATTATAAAAGGTTTTAGGAATGTGAGGGTCAGGAACAGTGTTGGCATAGGACTTAATGACTGGAGTTAGTTAATTTGTTGGTGGGGATTAGAAGTTAGATGATACCTGGAAGTGGGTAGCAAGGACTAAATGGGGAAGCAGGTAAAAACCTGAGGTTATTCAAAAGCTGATATTACTAGGAAACCATCGTATAAGTGATAATTTCTGACCATGCAGAAGCAAGGCGTGTAATGCAATTTCTTTTCAAAAGCATCTTCAATAGTTAGATAGTTAGATCTTATGAACAAAGACATGCTTAACTGCTCTGTTGCTGACTGCACTAGTCAGTGCCCTGCAGTTCTGCATAAATTCCTAGCCAACTCCATTTGCTAAAGTACGTCTGAATCACACTACGGAAAGAAGTAGGGAGCCTATACAACGTTTTTTCACACAGTTTATACCATGATATGCAAAACGGGTTTCTTAAATGCAGAGACAAATGTCCTCAGACTGCCTGAATTCTACTATTTTTTTTTTTTTTTTTTTTGACTTCGTTAAAATAGCCTAAAATGACTTTAAATTACTCTCTTTTCATTGGTTAGTAGGTAATTATTGTTGAGCTACTGAGTTTTTGGAAATCTCAGGATGGGTTATATCACCCTCTTAGAAAAGAGCAGAAAATTATTGATCAGGGTTACTTCTAATTCAGATATTATTTTAGAGAATTCCTGTGTGTTCAAGAAAAATATATGGGTTTTATGCAAGTGCAGTGTTCTCTTCTTTCTCTTCGGCTGCTTTTTAGACCCCAAACAAATGGAAAGCATGGGAAATAAGAAGTGAAAATGTTAATAAAATGGGATTAATTTTCTAGCATTATTAATTAATGCAACATTTCTCACCTGGATTCATCAATCAATTCATCCATTCAGCAATGTGAGAGACACAGATGGAGAAGAACAATACATGGGACAACGGCTGTAACTGGTGGACGTGACAGGGAGCCATTGTCAGCAGGAGAAGCTTGGACAACTGTTTGCTCTGCTCAGTCATATTTAGGATAACTGGTACCTGAGCATATATTTGATTGGTCTCAATTTGGAAGGACTGCATTACTGACTCATACTGTGGGGAGGTGTTACGTTTGTCTCTGGTAGCTTTTCTGGAAATCAGATCTCTTTGTTTTGAGGCTGTAGATCTCATGAGCTACCGGAGTGAGTTGAGATCACATTTCTTTGCCTAAGATAGGAAAAGTGTCGTGCTGGGTTTGAGAATTGCTTCTGCATATAATTCTGGTGATTTACTCAATACTGAGTTGCAGTGGAAACAGGAATAAATTATGTAATATAACCTCCTTTTCTGGAGATAATTTTCTTTTTGGAGGAAACGTTCATATGGGAAAAAAAAATGCTTTATGTCAGTCAGGAATGCGGGGGAAAAAAGGTGATATTTGGCTTAAAACTGTGTAGAATGTGGGAATTTTAAATCAGTTTTCACTAGAAAAAAAAAAAAAGTATAAGCATGCTGTTTCTCATATGGAAGCCTGTGAGCTTAGTTGTCTCCTACAAACTTAATATAAAAACTTGTATTTTCTGTCTCTTAAAGTATCAAGGAAATCCGTGTAAGGAAAATTCTTGAGCTGTGGTGGAAATTTCCCCTTCCTACCTCCCTATATATTTTGGTGACACAGGAGTGACTAATTGCAATGAGAGCCTTGCTAGCCTTATTTATGTAAGAAATGCCTTTCTGTTAGCAGGAAACCGAAGTGGTTTTCTTGTAGTTAAAGTGCCAGAATGGTATTTCCTGTTTCGTGTGAGACATTTTGAAGCAGCAGACATTTTAAGATGTCATTCAGCATTCCTTGAACATTTGACTTATCCTATTTTGATCTGCTCCAAGCTTCCATGTTCTTTCTTTTTCAAGAACTAGGTCCTCTACTAAATGAAATAAAAATTGAGGTGGCAAACAGGACCAAAATTCTCTCAGCTATGATCTATGAAATTCTTGTTTCTGTGCATAAGACTGACAGGAACTAACCTTGCCAAAAGCTAGGCAATCCAATATGGAAGAAAAGGTTGATAGGTGTTAAAGAGAGTACTAAATGTCTTGAAATTTGCAGTGAGTAAAGTTGCAAAATCTGTCAGCTCTGGAAAAATTATTGTTTTTCTATTTTATTTCTTTGTGGTAAAAATCTAGGGGAGTGGCTTATGAGCTGGCAGAAACTTAAAAATAGAATACGCATGTAATTCCTTGAAAGTTCATCATCCTTGATGCATTACCATGAAATGACTGATTTCATGTTACTCAGCCTTTAACACTGAAAATTCATTTCCTTGGGAAACTGTGCTAGCTACCACAGTGTCAGGGGCTTATCCATCCCATCTGGTACATATGAGGTCCATTTTGAGAATGTAAGTTTGTTGCATTTCTAAAGGGCATACTGCTTATATGATTAGATCGTACCTTAGGAATTGTATGAATTTTAGTGCTCCCTGGGTCCTAGATGCCTTAGGACCTGCACACATTATTCTGGATCTTGAAGTTGCTTATGATTGTTTTACTTTTCCAACCTTAATATAAAGAAAAGAAGATTGGAAAACATTTCACTATCATGTGAAAGCAGACTAATGCCAATCTAGGAAATATTTAGGTACTTTACTCCTGAATGCTTAGCATAATTACTCTCCTGATGAAATGCCACGTGTGCGTAATAATGGCAATGCTGTCGTGTAAAGCTTTCAGTGTTGAAGAACAGCTAAAAAGAGGAATTGATGAGCCTACTCCGTTAAACTCTGTGTAGACAGGGATAGCCATACCTAAAGGAATATCCTCAAGGATATCAACTATGCAGGGAGAGGGCCTGCAACAGTAGGCAGGTACTAATTTAATACTCTATCTTCTAAATCTATTTGATTCACTACTTGCAAACTCAAGGCACAGTGTTTGAACTCAGCACTGCCTTTTCCCTGCTTGTTGCCCACATGTGTGACTTGATTTTAATGTAGCGATGCTCACAGCTTGGGGAACGAGAGCCTTATGTTTGCACTTGTCAATTAAAGTTGAAACGAAGGAGTATTTTGCTTATCATTTTTTTTTTTTTCACTGCAGATTTTTTTCAATTTGCTGCTACATAATAAGATAGGACCTGCTGGTTCCTAAAAACAAGTTAATTCTTCTTGGGACTATTATTAATAGTAAACTGAGTAATTTGGAGCCAGGAAGAATCAAAGAGTGGTTTGAGTGAGAAACGCTTTCCACTGTCTGGCAATGCAGTTTTGGGAGTTCTGTTTTAAAATTAGCTAATTCTCTTCCATTGCTTGCTGTAGCTACCACTAAGGAAGGATACCTCATGCTTTATGCTTTCTTCTGAAAGGTGTGAGGCATGGTTGGATTTTTTCAACTCTCAGTGCAGCCAGTTTCAATTAAGAAGGAATTGGGATCTTTGTAAAAAGTTTCAGTTTAGCTGTCCAGGCCAAGCAGACAGAGCACCACAGAGGGGTGTTTCCTATGAAGTGAGCTCATCTCTACAGCTGCACAGAAAGAAGTGCACCTTCTCTTCCCCCAGCATCCTACATGCTCCCACTTGTTGCCTCATGTTGCTCTGCTCATTTCTTAGCACCTCTGTTAACTCAGTAGTGTCAGGCAGCAAGGAACAGACCCAACAAGATGGATAACTTTCTATGGCAATACTGAGTAACATTGGCTTATAGAGAAGTTCAGTAGCTGCCAGAGCTATTACAAGGGAGGAAGATATATTGTGTGGGCAGGCAAAGAAGGAAGAGGGAGCTGAATAAGTGGGAGAAAAGAAGGGGATCTCTTCCTCATAGAAGGAGAGCACTGTCTTGATGCTGCTTCCCACAAAACTTTACTTTCACCAAGTGATGGTTTTGTTTTTCTTTTACTTTGCAACATGTGGTTGTGAAAACAACATGAGGCACCAAATTCCAAGTGAGATTTAATCTGATCTCAGCCTGTGCTTTTACTTTCCCTGCTTCACACAGAACCAAGTGTTTCTGCTACCTCTTTTATTTCTGGATATGTAAGCCAAAATCCTACAAAAACTAGAGCTGTTTCCTTAGGATCTTTCCTTGCATACTTGCTGCAGGAATTCTGATATGAGGGGAATTCTGATATGCAGGCAAGTGAGAGAAACCTTCTGTTGTAGCACAAAATATGTAATAGTTTCTGAAGTTCTATAAAAAGAGAAATAAAATTTCTCATTATGATTCAGGTACTTGTTTTATATCAGCTTAAAAATAAAAATAAAAATACTGGGTTTTCCTTGGCATTCAGACTTTCTCAGTGGGGTTGAAGATGAGATGTTTACCAGTGACAAAGAGAGGACATGGCCATCTCATTCCATTCCTGGCTTCTCAATTGTCGTGTTTGATTATTTCATTTTTTGGAAAGGGGTTGTAATTCTTCTGACGTTATCATAGGCTGGAAGTAAGTAAGTACTTACTGCTAGCTATCAAGGGGAAAATACCTATATTATCATTTTGTGTTCAAGAAATATTTTAGTTGTTGCTACTAGAGGTATATAAAATTGTGTGATACAAACTCTGATAGCACATGGAATAATGCCCAAGGTAACAAGCTGCTCTTTTATTTTGATGTGGAAATGTACATCTTTCCTCTTCTCAATCCTGGGCAGACAGGTGCTTTTCTCTGGCAGACATGCGGGTTCTCTCTGCAGTGCCTTTGGGAAAATAGTTCTCAGCATTTTTTCTGATAGAGAAAACTGATCCCTCAGCACAGCCTGCTGGCTGTCAGTGAGATAGCAAGCAAAATATAAATGTGCACAATTACACGTGAGAGGGGAAGTGATTGTATTACTGCTGTAGGTGTAATGGTCTCGCTTTCCTGTAGAACAAGTTCTAGATGAGGTGAAAGTGATTACTGCAGGTGGGAAAGTGGAGATGCTGTCTGGCACACCAGCCCACTGTAGATCTGAGCTAATAGCAGTAAATTCAAGCAAAGTGCAGTCCAAAGGGGAAAATGTTCCATGCAGAAGTGGATGTCAGAAAGAGAGGGAAAATATTTCTGGGAGGGGAAAGGAAAGCAGTGTTCAGTGGATGATGTGCAGCATGATATGGTTTAGTGCTAGTGGTGGCAATGGTGATGAGGGGACGGTTGGACTAGATGATCTTGTAGGTCGTTTCCAACTTTGTGATTCTATGATTCTATGATTCTGTGAAATGATTGCATTTAGAATGGGAGACAAAACCTGTCATCAAATTCATATCTTAGTGTGGATGATTTTTATTATCTAGTTATTTAACATCAATGAATTTCAGCTAGTTCTGTAGACCACCCTAAAAAATCAGAGTTGAAAAGTCATAGGTTGTTTTGTCAAAAATATTCATATGGTGATGTTAAGGACAATGGCATGTAATATCTGTGCAGTCTCATAAAATCCAAAACCACAGCCGTGATGATATGGCACACAAAGACAGATTAAAATTTAGAGGAATCTCCACTTGTCATTGTCCTTGCAAAGGAAACCATCTTCCAATCATCTACTGGATTATTTGTGTTCTTACACATCTGCTGCTAAAGTATAGGGTACATTTCTAAGGTGTGCATTTTCTTAACTCCTATTTATATTACAGGCAGTAAATTCTTGGCTAGCACTTAAGTTCATAAATTATAGCACTGGTGAAAATGGCCCAGGTGGTGGTGTTCTTTTCTGTGTGATTTGAGAATTTCACTCTACAAATGCCAGAAGGATGAATAGCATACGGAATGTAAAAGTAAAATTCCGTATTGCTGTAAAACACAAATATCACCTTTCCAGATTGATGTGATATTTCAGCAAGAGCGTTATTTATTTGCTGTGAAATTATTTATTCTAGTAAACTCGCTGATGACAAATTGAAGAATTGCAGGTAGCTACACCTTATGTGTTGGTTCCAAAATGGGTTTCTAATACAAGAAAAAAAATGAATTATGATGCTGACACTGGCTGGAAGAAGCAGGTGAGAGTACTCAGGGCTGAGGCAGCAAGAAAACATCTGCACTTTGGAGGCAAAAATGTCTTGAAAATGGGGGCAGATATCCCACTTATTAAACAAAGAACCCTTTCTTTATTCTTGGGGATTCAGAGGAGTGATGAAGATAGAATTTGTGTGGCAGCACTAGCCATACAAAACTTTGAGCATGAAATAACTCCTGGGAACAAAGTCCAGATATAGAAATATATCAGGTACCTCATGTTGGTTGGTTTTGGTGACAGTTTTAAAGTTAAGATGAGAATGTTTGAGTGAATACTGGATGTATAAGACGTTACAGACATCAGAGATCACTGCATCGTGCACCTATCTTTGCTTTGCTTCTAGCAAAACCTGGTA